AGTAACAAACGTCCATTTTCATGCATTGACAAACTCATACTAGAAACTAGTCACAGGGTAGACTTGAAACAGCTTTCAAAGTATCATATAAAATTGGGTAGGACAGGGCTTTTAAATTTGTTGGATCTCTTGCTGTCCATAAATTCAAGCACCCTTCATGTATTAAAAAACAGTTTGTACCGGTCGTCGCTGGTTCGAATCCAGTTGTGGTCTAGATTTCATCTCACCTTCAGTCATCACCCAGTACAAATACTTATCTAATCGTGAATGCTGGAAAAGGTGAGATTTTGTTCGTACAAGTGGTTATTACCATTCACTTAGTTAAGAGTAAGAGCTATAATGTAAACAGACAACTAATTTCGTGAACGGAATAAGACGTAACATAGTCGGTTCTTTTTCACAAGTGCGCTTAAAAATTAAGCCTAAGTGCTTGTTTCAAAAGCACTACTTGAAATATTAAATTATTTTATTATCGTAGCTGGTTATTAACAGCTTCATCACACAGAAATCACGACGTAAGAACGGAATTCAAATATATTCCAACCATTCACTAACATGTATTGTTATAGTCATTTCATTAAAAACAATATACCGTGTATGTTGCTTTATCTGACCAGATGAAATGAAACAAGTATGAAACAATGAAAAAATATAAGAGAAGCCAAAGGAATACGTAGATGTCTCATCCTACTACCACTCAATTAAAACTACTCACGATTTTCCAAAGAAATTTTGTTGAGTTTATTTTAATCAAGCATTTCATGACATGTGCATTTACTTGCAAAAGTTTATTTGAAAAAAGAATCTTGTTTTCAACAGAGTGGTTACCGTGTAAAATGATAAGTAAATTGAATGAACAACGTGCAAATAATCACAGATAAGTAGCGTTTATACAATGCGGCTTTATTCTTATAGAAAACCAGCAAATGGAATCAAATATCTTAAGGCTTAGCGTTTGAATTACATGAAAGTGTGAGATATACAGCGTTCGTTATAAGAAATCAAGTGTACTTGCTAGTTCGTTTCATGGGTCAAAAAAATCATCTCCACAAGGGAAGAAAGTTTTTAATCCCTCTTCTGTGATGCATGGAAAGAGAAATCCGTCACAAGATTTTTATGGTGTGCTTAATATCAGGTTGATCTACTGTCTCTAAACGACGTTTGCACCAATGAACCAGCTAACAAACGTGAATGAGGAGTTTCGAAGAGCTGATATTTTTTGCAAATAACTGAAAACAAAAAATGGTTTCACTCGAAAATAATGACAAATGTCGCTTCACAATAGGCTTTGATCAACTATTCTGTCAGTGTAAAAAAGTTAAATCCCTATCTCTTGAGTAGTCAGAAAATTTGTTTACTTTTTTCGACAAATTTTTAAGTTGTCAAAAAACCCGATGAGTAACGTAAGGTTTCATAATAAATTCAGAAACATTTAAGACTTTTATGACACAATGGAAACTTTCAGTTTTAAACGGTTATCATGGTCTTGAATCGATTTAACAGGGGTAGCTAAACTCAGTTGATTTTCTGGATATTTGGTCAAGCATCAAATGAGAAGAATGAAAACGGTATTTTGCAGCAGTTGAACAGTTACCAATAAAATCGAATGAATGAAAAACAAATGTTAATAACAGTAAAACTACTATACCCAACAGCAACTAATCAAATTTCAAATTTTCTCTTCTTGGTTTTCTGCCGCCTAATATTTCTATCCCATATTTAATTATCTCCTTCCTTGATTTCTTCCTAATTCATCGTCATTACTTTCAATGTTGATACATATACTACTCATACGCATTTTTATTAGAAGCTTTTGTGACACTTGCAAATGGCAATGAGAACAAAAATTTGATTGTTATTTTCTGGGAATTAAAATAACAGGCAAGTGAATTTTGGAAAAGTACAGTAACGTAGGACAGATACTACCAAGAGTTTCAAAATGTTGAGGATTCTGCATAAGGAAAATATGAAACGCTTTTATAACTGCTGAATCTTAAAAGATGCAAGAAATTCCCTCACATTGAAGTACAAAGAATTTTTTCGGACTAATTTCAGTTTCCCAGTTGCATGTCCCTAAGAGCTAATGAATATCTAATTAATATAATGTTTTAGCCATAGGTTACATAATAGAGATTTGTAGCTCAGGATAACAATGAAAATTGCTTCATGTTCACTGACCTTTGTGGTTTGATCTTGGACGTTCCATCACCAGGCTAGGAAACTTCATCAGCATTCGCCTCTTAAAAAAGCGGTTGTTATCTTTTTGATTGGGATAACATTTATTTCTCTTTTGCCAGGGACAGCCTTATTTAATTGTTGTTAACATTTGACTGTTGACTTTTTGTCCAGCTGTTGATCTACTTGACTGATTTCCATTTACCTGATCCCTCTTTAGTGACTCGTATATACCAATATCTTTCCACTGCCGTTTGACTAAGGAATTACTCTTCCGAGAATTCTCTAACAGTTTTCTAATTTGACTGTTGCAGACCTTGCACTTTGATTCAATCCAAGTTGTCATTCTGTTTATCCACATGCACGGATGTCAGCGAGGACATATAGTGTCATTTTACTGCAGCTTGCTGTTCATAAATCTTTCAGGCCTTTCAGTGACCACCAAATAATAATGTTGACAGTCCTCACAACTAGCTTTGTAGATTTTATTCCTGCCTTTCTGAATAATATGTTCTCTAGCTTGCAACGTATGTGTTGCACGAAATATGATTAGTTTCTTTCTCACAACAATTTCATGCATTAGTTGGAGAAGGATTACGTTATGAAACGTTTCTGTACTTCTCGTCCGTATATCCCACTGAAAACTTTTTTCTAACTGCTTACTTTATGAGCTTTGTCGTGCACATGCAAAGTGATACATAGATCTAGAGGAAACGTGGAAATTTTTTGTGTAATTTGGGTTATCTCAGTAAGCAATACATTATAAAATCAATGACTAAGTTAGAAGCACTTCTTGTTTGTAGTTCATCTTTTTGCGTGTTCGCCCGTTAAAACACTTAAAGGTTTGGGGAGTTATCAAACACGGAGTGTGCTAAGCCACCGTTCCTTCTTCACATTTTCCGTTTAATAAAGATATTATGTACTCTAGTTTTCATATTGCATATGTTCGTGTCTTTACCTAGAAATTTTTCTGGATATCGATTACCACTGAATAGATCATGGATAATTTGGAGTCCCCCAGAGAAAGTATCATCTGAGCAGATAAGTCTTGTCTGATGAACCCGTTCATTCATCCACAAACGCTTGCAATAATTATTATCATTGTTTTTGCAGCTTCATGCATCTTACTCCTTCCTATCTTGTCTCTAATTACCATCAACAATCGACCACTTGACACAATAGTTCATTTTCTCTTCACTTCGTGTTAGTTGCTGTTACATAAACTATCAATTATGTGTTGATACTGGGTGATGACTAAAGGTAAATGAAAATTTGGACAGCGGAGGGATTCAAAACAGCAATCACTGGATATCTGGTCCAGTATTGTGCCGACTGACCTATGAGAACCAATTTCTGACCGGATTTTTATTTCACTTCAAATCACCAAAGTTTTTGTCACTGGTTTGAATCCCACCATAGTCCAAAATTTTTATGCCACCAGTTATCATACAGTGTCGATACTGGCCTGTCTAACAAGCGATACCTCATTCAGATAGTCAAAATGATAATCAGTATGATGCAACACCTCCCTAACTCAGTTAGTTTTGAATTGGTGTGAGAATTCCTGACTGAGCGATCAGTATGAGCACCACCAGGCAGTTGTAAACGCGTCATGAGTTGACATAACAGTCAGGCAAAACCCTTGAAGGTTGAAGTAAAATAAAAATCTGGTCATCAGTCAGGCCTAGTAGCTCAGTTGTTAGAGCACCAGGTCGGAAACCCGATGATTAGTGGTTCAAATCCCACTGCGGTCTAAATTTTCATGCCACTTTTAGTTATCACCTAGTATCAATACTTGTCTGCTAAACCACAGCTATCTCAGATAGTTAAAATGATACTAACTGTGTAACAACCTGTTTGGAATTTCACAAATGTTACCATGTACTTATTCTATGTCTTAGTTTTAATTACCTTGCCCTATAAAAAGCTGCCTGGCAGTTTAAGGCAGGGTTTTTGGTGAATTGAAACATGTGGTGTATCATATTTAATCAGTCACTCTTGCGATATGATTAAATGTCTATGATTATGTCAAACTAAACAGAAGGAATGAAATTCAATCTACTTAAAGTGTAAACAACTCATTTTGAGTAGTGCCACTCAACAAGAATGTGATCCAGGTTAAATCCACTGCAGTATAATTTGTCCCAATATACCTTCAGTATTTACTGAATCCACTTTCTATATTTTGTTCTGGTATGATTAACTTCAGTGAAGCACAATAGCATTCGTAAGCGGAATTATATATATATATATATATATATATATATATAATACTCTTATTATCCCAGTTTCCAACATTTTATCTGATTAGTAGTTGCATCACTTCTTAGTCAAGTGATGAATATCACATGATTTCGCTTTTACTCGTAAATTTTAAATATTTTTTCTATCTAGCCTACAGTCATTTCAATCGAATGAATGAAATACTTGCTGCACATAGAGTATTTTATTAGTCCCTTATCTAGTTATGGGTTTGTAAATCTCTGTCAACTAAAAGAAGGGATCGGACCTTAGACCAACCAAACCAGTTCTTACAGATTGAAAAAAGCTACGTTTTAACCTTCAAGCAGTATGCGTCTGTCTGTATTGTTTTCATTTATTGCACTGAAACCCTGTCATATAGGAGAAAGACTGAGGGAAAGAAAGAGTAGTGAGACAAGACAAGCAGTTAAAGTAAATAAATGAATAAAGATTGATAGATAAATGTGAAGTATATTTTATTTTTCGTCATTGTAATCAGGTTCAGAAATTTGATTGAACAAATTTCTCTCGGCCAATCAAATGCATATCATCCATCTTGTAACAACACAAACTGAAAGTAATTTCTTCGTTATTATTTTAACACTAATGTTACGATACAAATAGTTCAGTTACTTCTTATAATGTTTTATTGTTATACTGTCACAATGAAGAGAACAAAAACTTGAATCCCTCCTTTATATCCCTATCTGAGTGGTAATTAAGTCATGCTTTTCATTTTGAAATAAAACATTGCACCAACATGCAATACAAAAATGAACACCATTGCCATTATTACTGCGAAAACATCTAATGGGAATAGTCCTAATCAGGCTGAAGTGACTACTTGTGGAACACTGCAATTGGCAAATATTTCTTCATTTAATTCACCTATCATGCCTAGTGAGTCAGAAGGTAAACGTATATTTGAGGTGCATCGAACAAAAGCAAATGTAAACGACAGCAAGCTATATGATGACCAGTGTACTACGGCTCCATCCATGAGACAAAGGCCAAAACGTATGGAAAAACATGTCACACTGTCCGATGAAATTTTGGATTTAAATTTTTCTTCATTCATGCGTCATCATAATATCAAATCAGATGATTACTACAATCATTATAATATTAGTAATAATGATCAAAGAGATGGAAAAAATGTTACTAGTTCCCATGATAATTATCCACTTTCATCTAATTCAACAATTCCACATATGTCAACGGATAAAATAAGCACTACGAGTCTTGGAAGCATGGGAAGATATTATTCTAATGATAGTGGTGAGTAAATTTATTTTATAGACATATTTCTGTTCAAGGAAAACAGGAGAATAAGTAGTTCCTTTGATTTGCACTGCTATGACTTGTGATTATTTAACTCACTAGCAAGACTCAATATGTAAGGCAGCAATAAATAACATAAGGCTTCGACTAAAATTCATTTGGTTTGTTTCCAGAATTACCAATACGTTGTGCCTTTCAGCTGTTAGTTGACTAAACATTAAGTTACTAGTAGCCGCCTAAGAATTGATGGTTACAAGATAAAATAGTGGTCTGTCATGGACGATAGCCTGAGCTCACTTCCTGACTTCTGATCAACTGAATTACATTTTCCAACAAACAGTTGGAATACACTTTTACATGATAAAGAGATATATTTTTGATGATGACCATGACATCAAATATTGTGTTTACAACTACCGGTAATAAGGTAGAAAAATAGGTGACGTTCCCTAGATCCCACTGCTAGCATCTCACCATCGAATTTATATCCGCTCTAAGGACTTTGGTAGGGGGATTTTCGCTTCAGCGCATTTAATTCTCCAAAGAATTAAGCCTGATTTTATTTTTTAGCTTTGAGAAATGATTCACGATATTGGCTAAGTCCTGTTTTACTGTATCTAACATTTCTTAGCCTCATAACACTAAACATGATTTTGTATGAACAGTTACATTTAGTGGCACAAATCACTATCTTTGCATAGTTTCATCTTGGAGACAGATTGGTGAGTGATAACGGGAAATCAAAGTTTGTCTCGTAACCATAAATATTATTGCAGAAAGCTTAGATATCAATATATAGAATAGAATATAGAATATAGAAGTGCATAGAGTATTTGAAGTTGTTACTTGATAAACTGTTTGGGTAACAGTTACAAGAAGAAAGAATCAAGCTTCTCGTGTGGTCATGGGGAATGATTGAGGTAGAAAAAGAATACGAACTAGCTAAAAGCAAAAGTAATACTTATTAAAAAAGTTCTTTAAAAGACAGAATTTTGGCTAGCAGTAAAAGCAATTGGTTTTAGGTGAATTTGTGAATAAAGAGCGATTTCTAATCCAAATATTAAAAATAAATTGTTTTTAAATACAATTTTTAGTAGACTATATTACGCGGTCATCGTTGACCATAATTAGTTTTTATGCCTTGCATGTAGTATTTCCATTTTGTACTTTGGTTGGTAACTATAAATGTAAGGATAGTTATCAAAAGAAGAGTACTATGAATAGGACAATTAGTTTAAGTGCCAAATCATTTGAACATTAGCTATACTAAACGGTAGCACCTAGTGATTTCAGTTAAATTACTTCATTTCAGTTGAACAAGAGTGACCTCAATCCAGGACAACTTTTTATTAAAAAATATTTGACGACTGATGAAATATGCTTTGTAAAAGATTCATTTTAATGGTCAGTTATCGAAGTGAAAGCATGATTTCTTTTCAGCTATGTCTACAAAGATTTTTAGTAAGACGTTTGCATTTTCATTTTATGAAAATGTTCGACTTATATTTTCAATCACCAACAAACTACTTTGAACGATGCAACAGATTTGCAGAATAGAGATTTTGTAACTGAAGAGAACTGCTAATATCTCCGTAGTAGTTTTATCTACTGCGTTTCTGATTAAATAAGACTAGTATTTTGGGCATTTCATAGGCACCACATTTTTTGAAGTAATTATAGAAACATAATGACCATTGAAATTCGAAATGATCAGACTTCAACAATACACGGGATGCATAATTATGGCTTTGGATTAGAATAAGATAATTATCTCATGATTATTAAATTCAGAGCATCCAGAAGTAAAAATTCATTATGCTGTTGTTTTAAACAAGTCGACCCTGGTCTTCAAATTAGTGACTGGTGACACAACGTTATATGAACACATCATTTTGGAAAGAGTTTAGTATTACTATCTGAAGTCGCATGTTAGATTTTAATCTGCTTCTTTTTTATTTCTCTTCACTTTAATGTCATTCCTTCTCATAGCAGTCATTCTATAGATACACAAGAGGCGAAATGTAGTTGAATAATTAGTGAAAGCCCCATTTATTCAAAATTTTCTAGAGGTTTGCAGGTTGATAAACCACACAACACGTTTCACTTGGAGAGAAGTTTGAAAAATAATAAATACTTTATATAAATGAACGGGATCTATGCTGTACCAAGTTTTATGTTATATCTCTCTCTCAATACCCTAAGTTAATTTGAATCTCATAATGCGATCAGTATGTATTATGTTCGCTTTAAGTATTATGCATTAAAAACATTTCAAAAGCCGAGAAAATAAGTGAACCTTTTTTGAAGTTTGTTATGAAGAAGAATGCATGGCATTTTTTATATACGCATAAGTAAGCTAAAAGGTAGGTATTCCCTTATTTATGCAATACAAACAAAAAGCCGTAACATTCTCAAGCAAATACTTTTTCAGGGTAAAAGTCAATATGTGAATTTGTTTTTATGACATTACCATCTTGTTACCTGAAACCAACGTGAGGATTTAACGAAACTTGATAAGTAAGTACATCACTGAGCAAGAAATACGAGGTAATTCCACTGAGATTTTAAATTCACCAACCCCAGGATAAAAGCTTTTCCGTTGAGGTCAGTTCTGCAATTTTTACTAACAAGGCACTGTCAAAGCTTTGTTATTTGCTTGTCTAATATGTTTTTGTGTACATTTCTTGTCCACTGAACATTAAATCTCAGTAAAAAACAAAATTCGCTGACAGTATCACTTCTCACACTCTATTACCCTAAAAATAAAGTGATTTTTATAGCGTTTCCCTGAAGAAAGTTACACACTGAGAGAGCTGAATGTGCCACTTAGTTATTAACGGGGTAGCAAAATTAAACAAAGAGATTATCAGAAGACCAATTAAACAAGTATATTGTAGCGACCAATAGGTGATCTACACTTTGCGAATTTTCAGAGTAAAACAAAATGTACTGTGTAATCGAAGTCAGCTAATCACATAAGCGAATCAACCATATATTGCTCCGTGCTTAGATAATCTTGTCATTGAAAGTTCGATGTTACCTGGTTTCAGGACGACTGATTCAACATTACGCTTCAGATTTAGAAAGTGAATAGTAGATATACTGTAAAATAGTATAAAAGCTTGACAGTTTTGAAAAATAATGCACTTCAACAATAGGAAGCGGATCAGTATTTTCTCATTTTCTTATCAAGTAACTGGAATAAATTAGTTGAATACTTTTTAATGACGATCACAGTCACTTAAATTGAAAGTCACCTTCAAAATATATCCGATAGAGAATGTGTAAGATGAAACTTAGCTTGACAAATCATCTTTACTTTAACAGTTATCTAACGTTTGCATACGATTTTGAAAGAAGACTGTGTGGAAGAGACGTGACTAGAGTTGGTCAAACAGTCTACGATTAAAATGTTGCCTGACTTGCATTCTGCTGTGGACAAACAATAGGGTTGGTACTTGGAGATACGTCTGAAAAGTTTGCTCTTTGTGCAGCCTAATTGACTAGCTCCATAAAAGTCGTTTATTAAATATACTCGCAGATAGCATATGGCTAATTTGGATAACAATTCACTACTTGGAATAACCGAAAAGTTCTATTTATGTAGAAGATACATGTATAGTATCTTCATCATCTGCGATGAGAAAAATGATCTTGATGCCAGTCTTTTTAAATTCAGTGAGAGTCATCCGCTATCGGATTCATGATGTAATTTGGAAACAACTCAGAATAGCATTGTCTACATAGCCCTTTGAAAATAAGACATGAAGGTTCCTTAAAAGACTTCAATCTATAGAAAACCAACTTGTAATAGACAATACACTCATTTTCAAAAGTGGGTACCACTGTACTGTAAAAGAAACCTTATTCATCCGCTCTACCTGAGAATAAGGAGCATATGCACAAATGCTATGATAGATGAAGAGTTGAGTCACCTTTAAAATGATCATCCTCGAAGATTCATCACAAAAGACTGAAACCAATACGACATTATGAACAAGTTCCTACTATTCCCAAGAAGGTGTAATTCACGGATACTGAACTCAAACAGGACAACGCACGGAAATTATGAAGTATTATTTTTATAAAACATCCGAAAAGCATTCTATATCACAGAACCTTAAACAGTCTTTTCCAGCCCATAGCTGATATATATATATATATATATATATATATATGTATGTATATATATATATATATATATATATATATATATATATATATATATATATATATATATATATATATATAGAACAAGTGAGATAATAGGAGACTGAGATTAAAATGATTTTGACAAAAGTGGAGTCCAATAAAATACGTGTTTAATAGGATCTATCGTATCTGTACATCAGATACAATGGATGAAGATATCAATTTACTGACCAAAACACTTATGGAAAACGGATATCGACTGAGGTTTATAAACTATTGTAGAAGTCAGGTAGCGTCGAAGCCAAATCCATACACGATTCCTAAGAAGAGTGTTCACTTCACTTTATTATACAGAGAGGTACTGAACTGTATAATTTTGAGACGTAGGCTTACATCAACCATTATGAAAATCACTTAAGTAGCTAAGCTTAGCATTGCCGAAAAACTAAAACATGTGCTTCATCACAAACATAAACACTGTATCAGTGATGACATTATATCCCATTGTGTTGACCAGCTTACATGTTGGTGTGTGGTTGTACACACCTATGGAGGAGTAATCAAGCTATGCAGTTGAAGGTAGGAGAACATGCACCTAAATGGCTTCAAAAACAATAGGAGTGTGAAACTTTGGTAAGCCCAGGTGGAAGATGACCTTCCTCATCTGAAGCTAAACATATTATAGAAACAGGTAACATAAGTAATGTTCAAACGCCTTTCAAATTTTTTATGGACTTACAGTGACGTATATGAGACGTTTACTGAGAACTGTGGAAGCAGTAGCCATACACAAATTGAAACCACGTTGGTGTGTCCAAATAGCAATTTGTTCTCACGTTTCACTCATCTTAGT